CTAATGGTAGGGCAATAAATTTTTTTACGTCAAGTGGAAAAAATTGTCAGTTACGTGTTCATAAAGATCGCGTCGATCACTGTAAGAACGTCGGTCAATTTGTCGATCAAACTTTGAAGCAACGTTAACTTTGGGCTAAAATTTTTGAACAGTAGTTTATCTCACATAAGCGATGACAGAGTGGAACTCTTAAGTTGCTTATAGAGTGAATTTTTAGGTCATTCCACTGTCATTCAAACTTCTGCATTACTCTGGTTTTCAAACTCAGCTTACCGGATGTAGAGAAGCAGCTGCTTCATCAGGATTTAATCCTCTTTTCAGAGCCTTGTGTCTGGCAACTTGAAGTTGGCGTTCTCTTAGTTCTTTCAGCTAAAATGAGTGTTTGTGACTGTCTTTTAATGACTCGGTCTGAGATGCTTATTGTAAACTACTGTATGAGAGCAAAAACAAACAATTTACGACGGTCGAACTAACTCGGTGAAATTTAAACGAGCAAAATTTTTACATCGTACTCCTGACGCTCGCTTCTCATCTCCAGGTCAAACTTGGTGGCTTCCAGCTGACAAATTTTATCGTGGAGCTGTTTTATTTTTACTTTCAAATCGTTCGGCATCATGTTGCTAGTCTCTAATTTTTGACCAGAAATGTTGGCCAAATACGTTCTCTTAGCTTCCTCTTTCTCAGCGGCTATTAATTCGGCGTTTTTAACCTAAACAATAGCTAACTCTAAGAATGAGCCAAACATTCAGCAAAATTTTTGCTCAAAATTAAAGTAACGGTCATTTTTTCGTTTTAAAAGTTTTTTTTATTTTTGGTATGATCTAGTTCGTTTTGCTAAGAGACGATTCATTCACAGAACTAATTTTGTACATCTGTTAAAGAGAACGTTAGGTCATTTTATATGTCCTGTGCTTTCATCCACCAAAATTGTTATAAATTAAGAAAGAAAATTTGAACGTTTTAAAACAGTGCTGTGATATTGCATGTTCAAAAGTGACTGGAATAACACATGTCTAAAATTAATTTGAATTGACCTTACATTAATGAATAGATTCTAAAGCAATACGAATTATGGCCTAATTAACACTTACTTTTGAATTTTCTCCTCTTTTTTCAACGGTGTAATTCTTTTCAATCTCTGTTTCGCCAAATCCACTCGAAAGGTCGTGTTTTTTACGTCGTTCTTCTTCTTTTTGACGTCGCTGCGCTTCAATTCGCGCTTTTCTTTCTAGCTAAAAAATCATGTGTATTGGATACTTTAAAATGCAAATAATTTGGGATTACAGAATTACAGAAATCAAGCAGAGATCTGAAAAGTTGATAAACTCTTGAAAATGACAAGTTTAAAAGCCAGTAATTTTAAGAGAAAAAAACCTCTTCTTCATGTCTTCGTTTCTCCTCTTCCATGCGCCGTTCTGTCATTTCTCGATACTCTTCTTCACGCTGCTTTTTCCTTTCCAGTTGTTTTTGTTTCAACTCTTTCAACTCTTGATCAATTCGTTCTCGTTCTTGTCGTCGATTTTCCTCATATTCATGCATTTTAGCTGCTTCTTCTTCTTCATGTCTTTTTTTTGCTGCCTAAAAAATTGACCCAAGCTAATATGCGCTGATAACTAAAACTTATAAAATTCGTTATCTTTACCGCAGTTTCTGTAATTACGCACTGTAATTGGTAGTTTTTAAGAATAGACATTAGCAAAAATATTGCGCTAATTAAGTTGGCTAAGGTTTTATATGTTTGTTAGTGCTTATAAAAAAATTTTTCTTATTATTATTGTTATTATTATTATTATTATTATTATTATCGGGTTTCAAAATTTGAAATGAACAACTGAATAACCATCATAGCCATTTCGGCTTCTGTTAGTTGTTTTGGACCTTCATCGGGTCTTTGTGCCGACGAATGACGACGTCTAAAGATAGAAACGATTGAAAAAAAAAATGGCAATTAAAATGTGTTGTTAATTTTTTAACCTTAGTTTTAATTTTTTTAGAGAAGAGAGGTGAGGAGAAAGGGTGACAATTGAAAATACAATAGCACTAACTTTGTTTCATCGCTAGACTCTTTGACGCCTTCAGTATCTTCCTCTTCTTGTTCTTCACGTTCTTCACGTTCTTCACGTTCTTCACGTTCTTCACGAGGAACTTCTTCGACTTCTTGCTCCTCATCGGTTTCCTCTTCTTCACTTTCAACGCTTAACAAAGGCCGACTATTATTTTCTGTTGAATGTGTTGTTGTTCAGTTTTATTGTTTTAGCTTAACAAAAATCAGACAAACAAATTACTCAATAAAAAAAAGACATTACAAATTCCTCTTCTGTTTTTGTTTTTTTCTTCCAACAAAGAATAGCTGCTGTTAAGAAATAAAAAATTTTGGAGCAGTAGCAGCAATAGTGAAGAAAAAAAAAAACACTTTATATCTATAATCCCAAATAATAACTGAACAGTTTCATGACTACGCAGATGTGATAGATATAAAAATTAAGTTAATAAGATTATTTGCTTACTGATATGAAATCTATGATACATATGAATCTCCAACAAATCCTTCAGTGCTTTTGTTTTTTGTTTGGCTTTTTTTTTTTGTTGCTGTTTTTAAGGAACAATA